GTCTTGGGCATTTTGGGCGTTCTCCACGCGAGGTGGAGGTGGGAGGGGTTGTTCACTAACTCTCATAGAGTCGTTGCGCGAGCTCAGACCAGGGATATCTACGGTTATGGTCGATGAGCCGATGCGCGGGTTGAACACAGGGTATGTGCTCCTGTTGGTAGGGGTGGCAAAGACCGTTGAAAAATCTAACCGCGACCGTGGGGTTGTGTACCGAGGAGGGGTGCTGTCCTCTCCGACAACCTTTCGGAGCTGGGTTTGGTAGGCAAAATACTGAGAGATCTCCCGCATCTGGGCAAGGAAATATTTCTCTTGGTGCTCAAGTTAGGCCTGGACGGTTCTGACCGACGCATCCTGAGTCTGTGCCTTTTCCACTAACGTGGAAAGCAGTTGACGGATCTCGGCCATCTCGTCTCGCGTCTGCTCTTTCTTCCCGGCGGGGGGTTGAGATACGGGCGCACTTTGTAAATCTCCGGACACATTTTCCGCGGGGACATCCAGGTTTCTTATCCACACGCCTCGTGAGAAGGCTGGGATCATCGCAGCGGTGGTCGAGGCTGTGACCTTCGCCGCTGGGCGCTGGTCGGCCTGGCCTGCTGCCAATGGTCTGTTTTCCGATAGAACCGCGATGTTGGTTCCGGTTCTGACCTGGTCTCGCGCTGAGATCCAGATGGTTCTTGACTCTGGAGAGTTGCGACCAGTGCGTTGCTGCCTTTCGGCGTGGCAAACTTTGATTTATCCATCTCTTCTTTAGCAGATCTTAGGTCAAACTTTTGTGTTAGACGTATGTATTTCTTCCCCTTAGACGGCGCCAAATGTGGAAGCTGAATTCCGCACTAAGAATTTGTATGTGAATTTGGAGAAGAAACTNTGGTCCTAANAAATGTCTATAAGCTCAANGATTAAAAGAAGAGTAAAGAGGAGCTGGATTTATATTGATCGGAATCGAATATACAAATATGGTCTCGAATGAGACGTGTTACGAGCTCAAATTGTTCTAGCTCTCGCGTAGGTAAAAGTTGGCGAAATTTGCTCGGATTCCTCATATTTATAGCTCAGCTGATCTCGTCCATCCAGCTCCACTACTCCGGGCCGATTTCGCGTATCTCGGGCACGTTCTTGACATATTCCCCGCGAATCTCGCTCCGCTGACTGTGATAACCGCCTCCGTTGACTCGTTCCCAGCTCGTTAGCTCCGCACTCCTTGACTAAGCCTTATGCGGGGCTGACTTGGACATTGACCGAATCCTGCTTCTATTTTCCTAAAACTGGGCCACAGATCCATTGGATTCGTTCAACCCTTCATAAACAGAAGGTTTTGACTTGGGCTTCTAGCGGGACGGATTTGGAGTCGAATCCAACCCCAACATGGGCTACACGAAAATTAGGCCCAAACCCACAAATTTTTTATCAGAAATTTTCGATGGACCACTGTATATGATTTAAATTTTTTTTTGTAGAGGGTACTCTTGTAATCATCCATCCTCAAATTCATTTTGAGAGCGCCACGTAGGATTTTGCATTGATTATCTTGATGAGATATATTGATGAGTATTTCACCAATGGAGATAAAAAAAATTAGCATGAGGTTTTTAAATTTTATGACACTAACAATATTAACATTTTATTAGTGAGATATTAAGTGAGATACTTAGCATTAGAGGTGTTCTTATATCTGCGAATGGATGGGCTTTAATTTCGATGGGCCTTTCCGAAATCCCAAACAAAAAATGAATGGAAATAGTCTCGTGATTGTCCAAGTGTTTTACTGTCTTGTGAAGAACTTGTCGCTTTTATCGGAAAATTTTGGTAAATTCCAATCTTGTGCTCCTACTATAAAAACACATCAATGGGA